TTAAAGCTATTGGAGTGAAAGATCATGTGAAGCTAGTTACTTAAGGTTAGTGGAATCTCCACCCACTGCAACCGTAAAATGCGAAAGAAAGTGTGTTTTTCGTTTTAATTGCCAGCTGCAAACTTTAACGAAGATTCATTTATTCTGAGCCAACGGCAAAAGCCACGGCAAACAGTTAAAGTCGGGCCTTATAGCCTATAGCCTATAATCTATTCATGTTGATCGAGCAAACGCATTCACAGAAAGAGACGGAACTGGGAAAAAGTGGGAGTGGGAGGGAGAGTGAGTGCATTTCACACAAAACGTGCAAATAATAACACCATCTACGCTAATGATCTACGCCATGATGTTTCCCCTCTCCTCTAACTAACGTAAAACAGCTCACGCACACTTGAGCACAAAAAATAAACTAAACAGGTGAGTGGAAGAGGGGAGAGCAGGTGATGATAACTTAGCTTTTTCTATCTACTTCCGTTAAGTTAAAAAAATGTTTTTATGTACACATCCTGTCATTAAAAGTGTAAAAAAAAGTTTAAAATTTTTAAATGAAAGATGAACAATGAATAGAATAAATAAAACACCATTCTAAATATCATATTATTTCCCAATTTTAATTTCTGATTTGTTCTTGTCTCTTTCTTTTACCCAAAAATGTTATTAATGTGTTTATTGTTTTTTAATCTCAGCAAGATTTTTTACATAGTCTTTTACATTTTCTTTCTATAAAATTTTATTGCCTAGTAAAAATAGCTTATTATTAGCCAAAAACCCAACAGCTCCTTCTCGCAGAAAAAACTTAGGAGGCGTAATGGTGAAAGAGGGGGGCTGGGGGAAAGAGAGGTAAACAGTGGCCACTTGCAAACAGACAATAAAACGCGTTAACTGCTGTTTTGCCTGCCACAATTGTTGCGCTTGGTCTATACGCTGTCTCCCTCGCACCTGTTTCCCCTCCCCAACACCACCTCCCCCTTTTCCGCCCACTTTTGGAGCACGCAGAGCCACTAACTAATTGGCTGAAGCAACAACAACTTTGAACCTGAGTCACCTCTCTCGCTCTCGCATTTGAAGATGATATCGTTGTCTTGCAACTCACGCACTCACCATTACACTCGCACTTACATAGACACACGCTCTGGCCCCAAAGTATCTCCATCTCTCTTCCTCTCTATCGCCCAAATGGACTAGGCCCCAAAGAAAACAAAACATAGCAGAAAACACTTGCGATGTTGTTGTTCGCTCACACAAATTAGCTGAAATTGTCAAAGAAATGCAAGGGGGATGGGGAGCTTACAAAGCATGTGCGAGAGTGAGATAGTAGCTCCATTTCTGCATTTCGTGCATCTGTCTCTTATCTACAAAACAATGGGATTCACTTTATGACAGCTTTTCCCCAGGGTTTACCAGTAATTTAATAATTTCCACCAAGTAGAAATTTTGTTGATTATTTATAAAATGAGCTTTAGAAAATTAAACTTAATTTGTTATTAGTTACTTACTTAAAATATTTCTTAAGGAGTTATTTCAAATCCGATTCCGGCGATCGCGCAAAAAAGCACACTTCGTCTCGTCGTGACAAACAAAACGCTCACGTTTATCGCAGACAAAAGATCTCCATTTTTACGCTAAATTTCATTTCAGTTTGCGCTTTTTTGTCGCTCGGTCTCCCCTCTCGGTTCCCCTAGTAAGTCCCCACTTTATGCTCTGGATCGATCGTCTATATTTGTGTGTGTATTTTCCCTTTTGTTTGGAAAGTTTTTCATTTTGGCTCGTTAAAACATTTGAAATTCAAAAAAGTGTTTTTTTCCCCAATAGACAAAAGGGTAACGCAGGTTGGTGGGTGGTTGAAGGGGGAGGCTCCTCCGCTTTGTTTATCTTTGCATATTCATAAAGCTTCGATCTGTTTACCTTTTTGCGTTGTCGTTTGACTTTTAGCTGCTTTATTATGGTGCAGCTTGCTTGGCTTTTTGCTGGCCAAAATCCTCGGGTTTTATCAGTGACACCAAGTGGTGCACTATCGGTGGGGGAAAGGGGGCTATGGGGTTACCCCAAAGGTGGAAGACCAGACAGACAGCTGCAGTTGCGAAAAACGTCAGAAAAGTGATATTTGTTTATTGTTAACGAATTGAAATGAAATGCGAAATAGTGCGGTTGATTGGGCATATCAGCTGTGAATCATAATTATTTATTTAAGAGAGGATCTGTTAGTAGAAATATCTTATTTTATTTCAATATTTTTTCTGAAATTATGAAATAAAAATGATAACTGAATTTCAACTGCGTTCCTTATTTAGAATTAAATCCTAGGTTAAATAAATATAAATATATGTAAATACATATAAATAAATTTCCAAAAACTAAATTCAAATCAATTAGATTCCCATAATCCTTTCAGCCCAGTTCACTGAACCCAGCAAGCCTCGTCTATCGAATATTTTCCCACAAGCAAACTAAAGGCACAATATTCATTTGCCATAAATAAGTCACCACAACCCGGGGTCCCTAAAATCAGTCAAATTGTCGACTGCCTAACCCAAAGATCTTCATCATAGTAACCCTAACTGGACCCGCTACCCACAGCGGAATAGCTAACAAAAAAAATATGCACCGATCAAGCGCGAAATTTGGCACAAATAAAATAAAATAATCGAAAATAAAGACCCAATGGGTTGCTTTATTTTTGTATTATTATTTTTGGGTAGGGAGAGGGTCAAGCTAGGCAGTTACCCTCCCGTTTTGTTGCTGTCCATGTTTTCGACAATTTTTTATTTCGTTTTCCCATTTTTATTTTTTTTGTATACCCTCGATCTTTGTTATCGAGAGACCGAAAACCAGGCGAAGGCACACAAAAGGCCCTAAATGCGCGTCTATTTTGTTACAATTTAAGACGCTTATTAGAAATCGTTTGCAAATTGTTTAGCAAGAAAGCTGGCACGAACGATCGTCGTTTTGGGAGCAGCGATCAACGAGTTGGGTTTGCGGAATCGGTTTTGGGCCATGGCTGGTTGGCTGGAGTCTGGGATCTTGGACCCTGCGGATCTGCAGGCTGGGCTGCCACTTGGTAACCCGAGACTGGAGCAAACGGCTGTGGAGGAAGTGGAGCCACGAAATGCGTGCATATTAATTTTCGTATATTTACGTTGGCCCGATCCATCCGATTGGGCTTGGACTCTCTCCCTACACTTTAAAACAGTTGGTATCATAATCTTTAAGTTTCATATAAGAAGAAAATTGGTTTCAGTCAAATATTTTACTCCATTTCCACTAAATGAAGAAGGATGTTACAAATTGAACATGAAATGTTTAAATGAAATGTTATAAATGTAATCATTTTTGAAATTATCAAATAAAGTTAAAAATCAATTATTTATTCATCCTTTTTTCTTTTAAATTTTTGTTGAAAATTTTTTTCGGTGTACACACGTGAAACTTGACTGAGACTTGTTGCTGCCGTTGCCGTTTGGGTTTCGCTGCTTTTCTAGCTGCCTGATGATCTAATTTGGCAACAATTGTCGTGGTCGTCGATCGCTGATGCCGTTGATCGTGGATAGACTGGATCGGCGGGATCCCCAGTCCCCACACACACCACACACACACATGTGTGTGAGCTCTTTCTGGGCCTTTGGAGCAGGGTCTCCTCCGCCTGGCGATCGATTGATCTCGATAATGAGTTTCGTTTCGTTTCGTTTGGCTTCAGAGGACGCACCCATAATTTCGTATGCTCTGTCACCCGAACGATACCTTTCCGACGATTATGATTTCCCCGCGCTTTTCCGCTCGGCTGGATACTGGGATACATCGATCACACTTGGTGATCTTCGGCGCAAGACTCTATTTTCACTGCTCTCTCATTAAGATCGCGGTCTCATGTCTAATAAGACTTTTTTGGCCGGGGCGCGGGCCTACTGAGGCTTGAAGTTTGGCTTTTTGATTTAGTGACTGCCATTTTGTACTCGTCGTACGTGTACCGAAATTTAAATATAATTTTTGATCAGCTTGGCATATAAATGCGACTTATGTTTGCTTTTGCTGGGCAGGCCATAAAATGTCGCGATTGGCTGATTGGGGGTTCTCATTTCCCGATCCGCTCGCTTCGATTTGTTTATTTGTTCGAAAAGAAGAGCATGACCCAAAATAAAATCAGAGTGCGGGGAGTATTTGGGGAGCTTTGGAAGACCATTCACGACTTTTCTAGATTCCATTGAACTCCCTGGCGGAAATGGGAATTGACTCTTAATTGAATTTGTACAATTTTCAAATCTACATAATAAATGTATGTACGATGTACAATTGAAATACGAAAATTGATGGTTTTTGAATTCGTTCTAAAACTAAAAATTTCGTTGTTTACAACATTGTTTTTTCAAGGTAATCGAATCTAAGTTGATTGCTATTTACATGTTAAATAATGTTATTCGGATTAAAATCATTTGTATTGTAGTACTGGAAATTTACCTAGCAAATAAAGTCGAAAACAAAAATACTTGTATTTATATTACAAGTATTCGTTGTATTTTTTGTTTTAATTTATCAGGACTTTGTAACACGCAGTGTAAGAAAGTATTCTTTGAAATTTAAATTTCCGTATTGTATCTGAAAATTAAGAATTCTGAAAAAAAGATTCCCCAGCCAACCCAACCAGTAAAATCGATTTCAAGTTTTTTTTTTTTTGTATGTAAATAAAATGTATTTTCTTCTTTCTTCGCTTGATGCAATAAATTACTTAGAATTACAAAACATTTTCGTATCAAAATATGTGTTCTTCGCTTATCTTCACTTAAGCTAAAGTAGAACATTTTCAATGTATACGCGAAAAAGTAGTGGTCATATCAAAAATATTTTACGATCTACAGCTAGGCTAAAAATACTATCGTATAAAATAGAGAGATGTTGTATGTCTTGCTTAAGATTGTCTGGCGTTTCGTTTGTTCAGCTTAAAGTCTACAGTTAGACATAATACATTATGTACAGGATAAAACGTAGAATACTTTACAAAGTTCGTCTTTAGGATATGGGCACACACTCTAATATGGTTATTCGAATTGTGGGTGTTACAAAAGTTTGTTTTTTTGTGGTGGATACAAATTAAAAAGTAATTTTTAATTTTCTCTTTTTCTGCGGAGAAAATGCTGACTAGAAAATAAAAATAAGTGAAATTCTGTTTGAAGTTGTGTGTCTGCACTGGGAGTTGATTGTTTTTTGTTCATGTTTTTCTTTTTTGGGAACTTGGAGCCGCCTAAGAGAGCTAGGAACTAATTTTTGGTGGAACATGGCTGGGATCTCAGCTGTATATAAAACTATAGATCGCCTTAGGGCTCGGCATAGCCGGCGTAGTTGAGTTCGCTGCTGGAGGAGCCAGCGTTGCCGCCAGGACATCCGCCCTCCGAGTGTTTCGTCAGCAGGGACATTCTCGAAAAGGTCTTGGAGCAACTGGTGCAGGAGTACTTCTTGATGTCCGAATGGGTCTGCAGATGTGCCCGCAGATTGGAGCGATCGGCAAAAGCCCGGTGGCAATGTTGGCAGCTGAAGGGTTTCTCGCCGGTGTGGGTGCGAATGTGTCCTTGCAGGAGCCACGGTCTCGAGAAGGCCTTGCCACACAGATTGCACTTGCAGGGCAGCGTGTGGGTGCGAATGTGCATCTTCAGGGCTCCCAGGGAAACGTAGGTCTTGTCGCAATCCTTGCAGCTGAAGGACTTCTTCACCTGGTTGCCCTCGGCGGCGGGGCAATGGAACTGCTGATGTTTGGTCAGCCCCGAAAAGGTGGAGTAGGATTTCTGGCAATCCGGACATTGGTAACGCGGCGGTTGGCTTTTGTCCTTCTTGGCGGCGGCGGATGCGGAACTGGGTCCTGGTGATTCTTCTCCTCCCGCTTTAACTGCTGTGAGTTCTCCGGGCTGATTGGCTTTTAGGTTCATGTTCAGGTTCTTGTGCTTCAGGGAAAGATCTTCGGGCAGCGAGGAACTGCAGCTGGATTCGGGTGTCATCGAACGCATCGAGTAGTAGGAGTTCTCGGAATATGCCGGCGAGATCGGCGCATGGTGATGATGGGTATAGCCGCCCAGATTGGGATAGCCACTCATGGGTGGATATGGCAGGAATCGGTGCTGCCGTACGCCAATCGGTCTGTGGATTATCTCCGATCGCATTGGCGGCGAAACGGAACTGGCGCGACCATGCAGATAATGATGTGGTGGCGGCGACAGGGAACCCAGCGAATCACTCGGCGAACTGGGCGCTATTAAATCGCCACGAAGAGGCGAGATCTGGTGGTGTCCCGGCTGATTGATGGTCCTGTAGAATTCGGCCGTGTACGGCGACATGTGGAAGTTCCAGGGATACTTGGGATAAGTGGGCGTGGGCACCACCACGGAAGCGGCAGCGGCGGCGGCAACTGCAGCGGCAGCAGCCAAAGCTGCAGCTTGTGTTTGATTCTGATCCGAATCCACATCTACATCGACATCCTCGTCCTCTTCCTCAATGTGCTCATCATCCGTGTGGTCCACATCCACGCCCTCGTCTTCGCAGCAATCGCTCACGTTGATCAGCTCCTCGGAGGGATTATCCTCCAGAATTTCCATTTTCTTCACACACAGATCCTGCGGTTCGTTCGGTGTGCTGTTGTGATTTTGAGGCGCCTCGAACTGGTAATTAACCGGACGCTTTTTCAGCGGGCACTTGCTGTAGTTTTTCTCCACCAACATGTCTTCCACGGAATGCATTTTATTGTCTTTTTTTCTTTAGCTTTTTTTTAGGAATTTATAAAAAGTTCTCGATTTTTTGTCACTTTGTTTTAGTGTGTCATGTTCACACAGGCACGAATGTTTCGGGTAAATACACACAGATGCAAGACGCGTGTTCCGTTAGGCAAAGCGGTTGATTTTTTCAGGGAATTATGCTCAGGTTTTCAGGAAGTTGGCTGTCTCAATCGGTTAGAGTCTGAAAAAAACTGAGCGAGTTTGGCGGCGGTGCAGCCTTTTTATACCGCCCTTGGTTCGGCTTTCCTCGGCTGCTCACACAGACACGACCCGAAGTTGAGACGAAGCGGTCGTAAGAGAGCACGCGAGAGCGCTCTTCGGCGAGAGCGAGCATGTCCATGCAGGTAGCGCCGCTGACCAATAGTATCGTTCGGCGCGAAAACAGGTTTTGTCTTGTTTATATACGAGGGCCTCACGTGCCGACTTCGTACACTTGCACCAATCGAAGCCGCAAACGAAGCGATGCCGTTATAATTGCTCTGGTGTGGGATATATAAAAGAAAATGCGTACCTGTGTTTGTTATGCTCTCTGCAGCTGCGCTTCGCTCTTTTTGAATGCAATGCGCAATAAGGAGAAAAACGATCTTACCTAAAAAGTTACCCAGAAATTTAGTAAACCCCACTTTTGGGGGATTAGCGTAAGAGGGTTTCCTTCCAGAGTCATTATCATTATCAGGTGCATCATTAGCTGGCCTGATAACTGAAACGCAAAAAATTTCGCAGGTAGGACTAAAGGTCCAAGGGCGGCCACTGATGGTAACACAGGTAGCAATTTGCATTAATGAACTGTTTTTTGTATTCTCAAAGGAGTGAGTAATTTCACTCAACGTAAAGTTGCAAATCAAAGTCAAACACATTAATATTCGGTTTTATTTTTTTTTTTTATATTTCAAACCCAAATAAAATAATTTAAAACCCCGAATCAAAAATTTGAGTTACTCAATATTCCTTATTTTTGGGAAGTCGTATAAATACAAAATCTTGAGCCATCTCCAAACAGCCAAAAAAGGCGCAATATATTGATTCCTCGAAACGCTTACTGAAAATTATTGACTGCAAGCCCACTGCAAATTAAAATTTTAGCACCCAATTTAAAAAATAGCCGCAATGTGTCTGTAAACATACATAGAATTGTGATTTGGTGACACATCGAATGACGACTTTTTATGATAATGTAAAATAGCAAGGAAGCATGAAATGTTTTTTGTTTCTTCCATGCAGAAATAAAATAGTATTAGCAAGCAAGAAAACATGAGTACTGTAAATAAATTTAAGAAATAATAACAAAGTGGAAAAAAGACATGTTTTGTTTTGTACTGAATTGAAACGTTGATTCCTAATAAAGTACGAATGTGTGCGTGTACGTTTTATAACAAAAAAAATTCTGAAAGAGACAAGATAAAACATAATTCGTAATCTCTTTGCTTGCAAGAGCAATAAAATATCTTTCTCTTTAAGTCAAGGGCTCTCTTCTTTCTGTTCCGTTTCCAGTTTGTATCGCTGGCGCTCTTGATTTTTCTCTGCGGTCTCCAAATATCGAGGCGCCAAAGAAGCGATTTAAATCTATATTTGGATTTGTGGGAGGGTATAGAATCCATGTAGCAAAGAGCATGCAAGCAATTAAGGATCGCGTTGAGGTCCTCAAGTGGAAAATGCCACACACAAAATCCCACCAAATGGCAGATGTGTGGCAACAACACCAAACAAACACAGAAGAAGTGTTTTTTTAGAGAGATAAGATAGGAGGTGTTGCCCCCATCCAATTCCAAATGCAGGACATAAATCACAGTAGAACAAAACTGCAGGAGAGCAGTGCTAATTTTTAGACCATTTACCAGGAATCAATTTTACACTGAACAAATTACGCTACTCTAAATGTGTAGATTTGAACAACTATAAAATGTAAAACTATCGAATGTGTTACTATTTGTTTTCTGTGTAGAACCCACACACAGTTGGCATTTAACTTAATTAGCGTTCTTATCAAGCATTTGTCCCTGTGGCAGACTGACTGCTGTGCCCAAGGATTCCGATCCAGATGCAGATCCTCCCCGTCCACTTTTTGCAGCCAACAGGAATTCCCAGGAAGCAGACAATCCGGGCACAAGTGCGATCCCACCGAGATTGCCAAACGAGGAACCCAAAAACCGCCAGCATAAATTAATAGATAAACATGTGCAATTCTAGAGACAGGTTCGGATTTGGCAGGCAGTGTTGTCCATTTGGATATTTTTTGTCTCTGGTGAAGAATTGTTATCAAATATAAACCATAAAATTCAAATTGATGATTAAACCTTGCATACATTTTATTTATAAAATTAAAAATAAATTAACAGAAATTGTATTTGCAAATGTTTTTAAAAAAATCTAACATTTATCAAAAAGCTAGCAAAATTTGTGCTTTGTAAGTGGTTTTTATATAATAATAACATTTTTTCGCCACAATGTCAATGTTTGATTCGGCTGTTTTGGCCACTCCGTTTGGTCTTGGCCACGTACTCCGATTTACATGTCCAGGTATTTCGGGTCTGGGTATCGAGAGCAGCCAGAGACCCAGGGAATGGGCATCTGTTATCTTATCGCACTTCGTTGGCTTGGCTTGTGGTTATATGGCCAAGCTGCCCATGACGTCTCCTCTAATTCCCCTTGGAAGTCTGCGAGTCGGAGACTCTGTTGTCGTTGTCTCGGCTCGATTGGCTGTTAACAAAGATTTAATGATCTTGTTAACTAATTTTTTTCTGGCTTCGTTCTTGGTTCTAGCCGGAGTAAAAGTGGTCGGGAGTGGGCCGGGAAAAGGACCACCCACCGTCAAAGCGACTCTCAATTCGACCGCTGTGCAAGTTAATTAGTTTGCGTTTGTTGTCGGTCTTAAATCACACTTGAACGGGCTGATTGCGAGTAATACTTCGGCAGAAAATGAGAGTGGAAATATCGGAAATTATTTAAAACCGATACCGCTCAAAATAATGCAAGACAAAAATTAGATTGTAAAAAAATGGAAAACATTCTCGCAAGCAGAATTTTTATTAGATAAAACAAATCGTTAAAATAATATTGTAAGTATAAATAGCTAAACCTAAATATAAAAATCTGCATAAAAATAGAGATCACACGCCAAAATTGTAGTGATTCATATTTAAGGACTCTGCCCTACCAAAAATCAATCACAACACTTTTAAGTAGGTGACCCAAATAAGCCAACCGCAGACTTAATTTCAGAATCGAACACAATACGCATCCCTCTGCCTGCCACAACATTTTGAAAGCGTGTAAAATGGTGATATTTAAGCGATTTTTTGATGTTGCAACATCCCAGACACGAGCAGCAAAAATATTAAAAAAAAAAAATCCCCGACAAAATTAAAGAAAAACCAGACGCAAAAAGAGGCCAAGCCGCAACAGGCTAATCCTATTTTGGAGGCAATGAAAATGAAACAAAAATAATAAAACTTTTTTACGACAAGCTCTAAAAAGCAGAAATACAGCGCAGCGCGACCAGAAAGGGCTTCAGACTTTCAGGGTTCCGGACTGGTTCGGACCTCCGTTTTGGCCCGGCTCTGGAGCGAGCAACAAATTATTAACGACATTTTAAATGCAACGCCTCTCGCCTGGAAAAAAGGGAAAAAGGGTCACAACCACAACTCGGCCGATGACTGGGCCACGATTTCTGGATGGACTTGGACATGGATTCCGAGTCCGAGTTGAGAACTCGACTCCTTGCGGGCTCAACACGAAGACGCGACGCCTTTTAATGAGATTTGTCTGAAGACATGAAAAACTTTTGTAATTCCCTCTTTTTTGCAGGACACGCAGCAAAAAGCGACAAAAGACGGCACTCAAAAAAAAAATACTGTAAATTTTTTTGCTAACTAAAATAAATAATATAAATTAATAAATAAAACGAAATCATAAAAAAAAATAAAATTTGGAATTATTTAAAAACATATCATATGCATGCTAAAAAATTATTTTTCTTGGTAAAAAAAATCTTAAATTAAATGTTTATTAAAAATTTGGTTATATATTTAATTATTTGTTTATTTATTTATTTTATTATTATTTAAAGTCTAAAACTAATAAATTTTTTTAAATTCCCAGAAATGGTGAACTATTTAGTTTAATTGATTTTTTATTGGTGTTCTTGAAAATACTTTTCTGAGTGCCTTCATCCTGAACCACTTGCCCCATCGTGTGGCATTAACAAGTGTGTGCTGCAAGTTGTGCTTTATATTTTATGCTCTGGCTGTTAAAATTGAAAATTACTTTTGGCCCAGTCCCTCTCAGACGCTCGGATCTCGAAAACTTTCGAGGCCTACCGCATTTGAAAGCTGAGACAATAATTGCAGAGGGAAAATTACAATCGAGCGTTTTTATTATTGCCAAAGAGGACTCTGTCACGGATCTGTGGGATCTTCAGTTCAGTTCAGTTCGGATCGGTTTGGTTCGGTTTGGTTTCCAATCTGAATCCCAATTCCAGAGCCAATGAAAGTGCGTGTGGGTTGTTGCCCCTTGGGGTTTTTGTTTAAGGTCTTCGCAAATGAAAGTTTTCTCTCCATCGATGCTCCAGGACATTATGTTTGATTAACGAAACGCAGGGCGAACCTCGGATTGTTGTAAATAAATTTTACAACCTTAAATGCCACCCGGATAACGTAAAAACGAGAAGCAATTGAAATGTCTGAATTATGTTTGTTGAATTATTGAATTATAGGTGGTCGGAGGGCCAGACATATCGAAAAATACAGCACACAACAATCATGTAACCGAGCCAGGCACTTAATTACTGGAAGAGAAATTTGTTTTCTTAAGGGAAAACAGTTTAAATACAGAGGAGAAACCATAAAGACTTTAAAAGCTTCCATTTGTTATTTAAGGTTAATTATTTAAACTCATAAACTGTTGAATATTTATTTATATCTTTTTTTTTATCAGATAAAGAAACATTTCTTGTACGAGAAATCTTAACAATCCCATTTTTTGCCCACCAAGTAGCCGCACATTATAACAACATTAACATTAAGCACATCGGCTAAGTATAATGCATGCCACAAGCATAATGATGCACTCCCCGAAAAAAGTGCCCGGTGATGATGATGGGGAGACACGGCGACTGGGAAAATTATTACATACGGAGCGGGAATTCGGCATGAACATGACGCGCGATGCCACCATAAACCG